GTCGTCAAGCAAATTGCTGGAAAAAACAGAGAAAGATTTAATATCCATTGGACTAATTAACATAAAAATATGAAAGCTTAATAACTATTAATTTAGCTACGCAAAGCATAACACTTTATTAAAAAAATATTGCTTCTTATAAGCAAAGTATAATACCACACATAGAAATACAGCTTTCTACGACTAAAGTGTATCTCTTTATTGGTATAGTGTAGCTCTTTATTGGTTCTAGGACTACAGAAAAAATATTTAATGATTGCAAATAGAGGTCACATTAAAACTAAATTAATGTCTTTTATGAGGAGAAATATTAATGGATGAAAGAGATTTCTAAGAAAGAGAGGGGAGACTAATGAAGAAAAGAGAGATTTCCAAGAAGATGAGTATACTAAAATGGGATTTGAGAAGTGAAGGAACCGATTCATAAAAATAAATTTCTCCTACCGTCACCACTATTACGGTAGAGTGAAGCATGAGCGCTACCTAGAAGAAGAGAGGAAATGGCTATTTTTTATTTTTATTTTGGAAGATACAACAAAAATTTTGAAGCTATATTATTGATTGGGTTTAAAATTAAGTTACATGGGGTACTTTGGGTATATAGGTGTTTACGGATGTTAGTGGATTTTTAATATGTGGATGTAACTTTAGATTAAAAGACAAAAACCCCTATTTATTACATTTGAAATTTACTGTCAAAATGAGTGCCTAATGATTAGATCGGTAGTGAAAGAAATTTTGGCGACAATAAGGCATTAAAATTTGCAATACGTGATATCTTGGCCCAAAAAATTATTCATGACAAAAAATCTTCGGCCATCTATTATGTGCTCTCTCACGCGATGTGGCATATTTAAATCGATGTGGCACTGGTAGTTGGCCACATTGATTCCGTTAGAAAGAGGAAAAAGTACAATCTAGTACTCAAATTTGAGGGTTTTGAAATTAGATTATCATCTTCATATTCTCCTCCCAAGGGTTGAAATTGGGCTCCCTCCCAAGGATAGATAATCTCTATCACCTCTGTCCTCCGTGCTTTAGTGCTAGGGCTTGACGAGTTTAGGCTGACATAAACACCCCCCACCCCACCCACCATTGATGGAAGAGAAGAATCTTACCAATCTGATAATCTAGCCATCTGCAATTAATCACTCAAATCATTAAAATGCTGTTAAGTCCCCTAATTCTTGTAAAAATCTAAGTAGTAGTGGTAAAATGTGATAATTCGGAGTCATAATAACAACTTCAATAATTTGAGGAGATAATTTCAAAATATTAAAAAGTTTTGGCTCCTCTAGTTACTACCTCTCCATGTCAGGTTTGCCCTCTTTTTTATTCCTAGAACTAGTTCTAGTGCCTACATGCTCCTCTAATTATTGAATTTATTTTTCTTCTTATCTCGTAAATTACTTTTCATTCCACGTTGCTCCCTAAATTCCACTTTTATTGTATGAGTTTAATAAGATATCCAAAAGTAATAAATCAGAGGTGGTAAATATGTACTAAATTTATATTTCAGGAGGTAAAGGTATCATATACATTGCAATAGTTTACGAGGAAAAATGGGACCAAATCTAGCTTAGAAAATAAATAGAGAACGAGTTCAATAATTTAGGGGCATGTAGGTATCATAAAAAAGTCACAAAGCAAGCAGGGGCTGGCATAAAATTTTTTAACGTACTAATGAGAAAAGCATTTCATATTGAAAAGAGTAGTGCTACAGGGACCCCAAATAGGGGACCCCTGAGGGGACAGGTGAGGTGTCGGCCCTGGGGGGCTGATTTACTGTTCATGAACAGTAAATCAGCCCCCCATGGACTGACACCTCACCTGTCCCCTCAGGGGTCCCCTTTTTTGGGGTTCTTGAGGAGTTTTCCTATTGAAAAACACTAGGGGCACACCATGGGGCACACCTTGGGGCACACCCCTATCTCTCTGCTACAATGTAAGGGCCCACTTGAGATTTTATTTAAAAATCTCAAGTGGGCCCGTGCACTGTAGCAGAGAGAGGGGTGTATCCTAATGTGTGCCTCATGGTGTGCCCCTAGTGCCACCCTTTCATATTAGGTTGTTGGATACGGAGAAGAGGAATGAGCTTGGGCTTGGGTTTCGATGGATTGAGTCAGAATGAGTCTAGTCCAAATTCCAAGTGGACTGGATTCGACGTGGCTTTATGTGATCTTAGGCCAGTTTGGTGTTGGTGCTGTGAAGGACAAGGTTGGAAGACAAATTGTAGGGCAAAATGGTCAGATTGATATATTTTGTAGAGGCTTGGTGACATGTTGGTATATTTTCTTTTAGTTTTGTCAGTTTGGTATAAATTTTCAACTCCGGCGTCATATAGGCCTTAAATTTGGCCGAAGTTACTGTTCCGGTCAGGGCTGATGGAATTTTTTGTAAAAAACCCCCTCTTCAATTTTTTTTTGGATGAAAATACCCAAGCTCCTTCGCCGGCAAACTAGGAACCAGCTCGCTGTCTCTCTTAACGGCGGCGTGCTCCGATTGGATCTCCTTCAGGGCCTCGAGCGCCTTCTCCGCGTTGCTCTCCTGCCAAACCCCGACGACGGCGTTCACCATCAAAATCAAGAAGATGGTGCAAGAGGCGGAGAAGTACAAGAGGCGGAGAAGTACAACTCCGAGGACGAGGAGCACAAGAAGAAGGTGGAGGCCAAAAATACACTTGAGAACTACGCTTATAACATGAGGAACACGATCAAGGATGAGAAGATTGCTTCCAAGTTGGCTGCGCACGATAAGAAGAGCATTGAGGATTCGATTGACGAGGCCATCAATTGGCTTGACGCGAATCAGTTGGGAGAGGCTGACGGGTTCGAGGACAAGATGAAGGAGACGAGGGCGGCGACGAGGAGGATGCGGACGAGGGTGTTGTTGAACTAATCGAGGACGAGTTGGAACACGGAGGGGCCGGAGTGCTTCTCGAGCTCGTTCCAGCCGTGGATTTTCCGACAACAGGGGACGTCTCCGGCATCGAGGTCGCGGTCGGCGGAGACGTCGAACGCGGACTCGCATTCAGGGATGGATCGGGCCCAGGCGGGGAAAGATCCGAGATCTTGTCCCCTTTGCCCATTTGAGAAACCCTAGATTGAGATGAACAAGAGAACAAAAAATTTGAAGAGGGGGTTTTTTTGCAAAAAATTCCATCAGCCCTGACCGGAACAGTAACTCCGGCCAAATTTAAGGCCTATATGGCGCCGGAGTTGAAAATTTATACCAATCTGACAAAACTAAAAGAAAATATATCAACATGTCACCAAGCCTCTACAAAATATATTAATCTGACCATTTTGCCCAAATTGTAGAGTCATTTAATCTTCTCAATTTTTCTCTATTTGATTGCATTAATCGATATAAAGCTCTATGCTGATGTGTTGCTTGTAACTCCTGAAATCAAAATTCAACAGGCAGATTTGCCGCAAAGTAAAAAATTCTTTTATTATTTATTTTTTTTCTACTTTTTTTCTCCACATCTTGCTTCTTAAGCAATATGACGCACGTAGATACAATTGCTATTCTTAAAATGAAAAAAGATCATCTCTACTAATGATGAGGTTTCTCTTCTTAGTTTTTTTTCCCTTCACTTTTTTTCATAATATTTAAAACGTTATAGAAAGGACAATAAACTCGAATTTGACATTAGACATTTGAATCAAAATTAACAGTAACACATCGACACGTGATTCGGATATTATCTTATCAATTAATAATGAGGAATACGTTAAATTATACGTGGGAAGATGTTAATCCTTACAAGTTGCACCGCCAGATTTAGCAACAACCTTTTGGTCGTATTCCAATTTTCAAAAAGAATGAATCTAATATACTTTGTTCAGAAATTTTATTGCAAATATACTGTTTTCATTTATAAATATGATATTAGTGCTATCTTTCATTCACATTTGAATTTATTCTTTTCCATGGGTGGAGCAATAGGGAAACTTAGAAAACTAAAGGTATGGTAAATGATATTAATTCTTTGATATATTTTTTCCCTTCCCATTTATAAGTTTCTATATGGATCTTGTTGATGCATTTGTGGGACTCAATCTCATTGGTTAAGTAAGAAAATCTTCATTATTTTGAGAAAAATCTTCTTCACATTTGCTCTTTATCCTAAGTAGAATGATTGCCAAGTCGTGTGAAGGCATGAATCCTTAGGAATGTTATTTGATAATTCAGCCTGATAACCTTTCAACCAATGAAAAATATTCAATAATTCTTTAATTACTTAGAAGATTTTTAAAGACTCTTTAGCTTAAGGCTCTTTCACTTTCCGCAAAGACATCATTAAGCATAGTACAATAAGACAAGAGATTAAAATGTAGATGTATAACTAATCACAAACTATGTTCAAAAGGCATGTTATTCGATAAGGCATTGGACATTTTCAAATTAATTCTTTTTACATGTTCTCTCCTAGTTAAATGAAACATGCTTTGTTAGAATGTTAAACTATAATCTTCAATCATCATCATAACTTTAGAGTTTTTATGTAATAGTTAGAGGGACACCATATGAGAAGAGCCTTCAACTTGCAGGGGGCATGTTAGAGTATAAAATTATATTCGGCAATCGTCACCACAACTTTGAAGTTATGCTCTAATGAGACTTAATTTAAGGAGGGTCTTCAACCCGCCGAAACATGTCAGAGTATAAAATTATATTTCTCAACCCTCATCATAATTTTTAAGTTTGATTGTAACAATTAGTGGACTTTGACATAGTGTCAGAGCAACCAAGAGATGCTATACCCAGGGATTGTTGTGGGTCCAGCGCAAGATAGAGCCCACATAAGGTCCATATGAATTAAATTTTATCTAGAAGAGAATTTGGAGGATCTATTTGTAATAGGAATAGGTTTGGAGGACCTAAAAATAAAATCCCTTTATAAATGAATTCTATTCATGAGAACCATGTAATCAATTTTCGGTGCTACAGTAACCCGAGAATAGGAACCCAAGAACAGTGTTTTTGGGTTGCGCGGGGAGAGAGAGAGAGAGAGAGAGAGAGAGAGAGAGAGAGAGTGAGATTCTGGATAGCTCGGTAGTCCGATTGTAGTGATTCAAAAGTCGTTGTCTTCAGAACGACGACGCCGTCAAGAGTACGGTATTGGTTTCTCCGAGAGTGTTAGAGATTTTTGGTAAGATGGGTTTTAGGTTTTGGTGCCCTAGAGGTAACACCGTATCTTTCTATTGTGATTTAATCCTCAAGTTCAGGTGTAATATGGAGGGATTGTACTCTTGATTCATAGTGAAATATTTCTCTCTAGATTGCTCTGTGGATGTAGGCACGATTTGCCGAATCATATTAAATCTTGGTGTTTGATTGCTTGTGGTATTTTTATTGGTGACGTTATTCGTTTAGTATTTAATTCCGCAGATCAAATTCCATAAAATCCCTAACAAGTGGTATCAGAGCCATGGTTCGAAGTGTGCTTTGGGATGGAAAAGATCGAGAGTTTTGACACAATGATGAAATTAGATAATTCCAATTGGTAAGTATGAAAGTCTAAGATGAAAGATATTCTGTATTGTAAAGATTTATATGACCCTATTGAGGGAGATGAAGCCAAGCTAGAAAAGATGACCGATAAAGAATGAGAGAAACAATATAGGAAGACGGTCAGTTATATTCGGATGTGGATCGACGTTCGTGTATTTCATCATGTATCGAGTGAGACTAATGCAAAGTCTCTTTGGAAGAAGCTTGAGGATCTCTACGAGCAAAAGACCGCGAGAAACAAGGTGTTTGCGCACATTCCGAAGGAGAAGAGATAGAAGCGCTTGATGATAGGACGGTTCCTTGCATCTTCTTTGGTTATGGAGAAGATAAGTTCGGCTACAAACTATAGGATCCAAAAAAGAGATGAATTATCAGACGAGCATATATGGTTTTTCAGGAGGATCAGACTATTGCAGATCTTGAGAGAGCAAAACAGTCAGAGAGTGTTGCTAATGAGATTCCAGATATGACACCCGCTTCGTCTCTAGTACAGTTGCATCCTACAGATACAGAACAGGGGAATGATAATGACGTTGATGATGACGGTCAGATACAAGAGCAGGGAGACGGTGATCAGGATCATGAGTAGGAGGCTACTCAGTAGGGGAGCATCACCAGCAGCAGGAGTTTACAGAGCCACAACTTAGGAGATCAGCTAGAGAGCATCAACCATCCACGAGATATTCTCTTTCAGAGTATTCTTTGCTGACAGAAGAGGGGGAGCCAGAGAGCTTTTAGGAGGCACATACTTATAAAGACAAGGACAGATGGTTCCAGGCTATGAAGGAAGAGATGAAGTCTCTTGAGAAGAACGATACTTATGAGTTGGTGGATTTGCCGAAGGACAGAAAAACTTCGAAGAACAAGTGGGTATTCAAGTTAAAGAAGGATGGCTACAAAGAGATTGAACAACTTGATTTTGATGAGATTTTTTATCGGTTGTGAAGATGACGTTCATTAGAGTTATCTTGGGGTTAGGAGCTAGTTTAGACCTCGAGATTGAACAACTTGATGTGAAGAATTCATTCGTTCATGGTGATTTGGAGGAGGAGATCTACATGGAACAACTAGAGGGTTTTGAAGTGAAGGGAAAAGAACATATGGTTTGTAGGTTGAAGAAGAGCCTCTATGATTTGAAACAAGCACCCAGACAGTGGTACAAGAAATTTAATTCTTTCATGTTGAGTCATGGCTACTAGAGAGCAGTTACAGATTCGTGTGTACATTTCAGGAGATTTTTAGATTCTAGCTTCATTATGCTTTTGAGTTATGTGGACGGTATGTTGATTATTGGTCAAGATAGTCAGATAATCGATGGGCTGAAGAAGGTGTTATTTAAATCCTTTGACATGAAAGATTTGGGCTTGGCACAACGGATTCTTGGTATGGATATTGATCGTGACAAGAAAGCCAGGAAGTTGTGGTTATCATAGGAGAAATATGTTGAATGACTGATTGATAGATTCAATATAAAAGATGTCAAGTCAGTCAATACTCCTCTTGCAGGTCATTTGAAGCTTAGCAAGATGTTTTGCCCGACTACATATGAGGAAAAGAGTAAGATGGAGAATATTCCTTACTCTTTTGCTGTAGGAGTTTGATGTATGTCATGGTTTGCACTCGGCCAGATATAGCTCATGCAGTTGGTGTCGTGAGCATGTTTCTTTCTAATCCAAGAAAAGTTCATTGCGAATGTGTAAAATGGATCTTAAAATATTTGAAAGGCAGTTCCAAATTATGTTTGAGTTTTGAAGGTTCAAATGTAGTATTATATGGTTTTGCAGATGCGGATATGGCAGGTGATCTCGATCACAGGAAGTCTAGCTTAGGTTGGTTGTTCACTTTTGGAGGGGGAGCAGTATCTTGACGGTCCAGGTTGCAGAAGTGTGTTGCTTTATGTACAACAGTGGTGAAAAATATTGAAGTTACAGAAGCCGGTAAGGAGATGATTTGGTTGAGAAAATTTCTGCAAGAGTTAGGCTTGCAGTATGATAATTATCAAATCTTCATTGATAGTCAAAGTGCTCTTGATTTGAGTAAGAAAATTCTATATTCCACTCCATAACGAAACACATTGATGTGAGATATCATTGACTTAGAGAAGCTGTTAAGAAAGAGGAGCTGAAGCTACAGAAGATTCACACAGATAAAAATCCTACAGATTTTTTAATGAAGATCATTCCCACAGGGAAAACCGAGTTGTGTCGGCGAGTGACCGTCATAAACTCCCTTTGAGGAGTTACAGATAGGAATACCCCCTTGTTGGGCTAGAGGGGGATATTGTTATGGGTCCATCCCAAGATAAGGCCCACATAAAGTCCACATGAATTAAATTCTATCTAGAAGAGGATTTTGACGATCTATTTGTAATAGGAATAAGTTTGGAGGACCTGAAAATAAAATTCCTTTATAAACGAACTCTATTCATGAGAACCATGTAATCAATTTTTGGTGCTACAGTAACCCAAGAATAGGAACCCGATAATAGTGTTTTTTGGTTGTACGAATATCTAGCGGAGAGAGAGAAAGAGAGAGAGAGAGAGAGAGAGAGAGAGAGAGAGAGAGAAATGTGAGATTCCGGATAGCTCGGTAGTCTGATTGCGGTGATTCAAAAGCCGTTGTCTTCAGAACGACGACGCCGTCAAGAGTATGATGTTGGTTTCTCCGCGGGTGTTAGAGATTTTTGGTGAGACGAGGTTTAAGGTTTTGGTGCCCTAGAGGTAACATTGCATCTTTCTCTTGTGATTAATGCTCAAGTTCAGATGCAACTTTGAGGGATTGTACTATTGATTCATAGTTGAATATTTTTCTCTAGATTACCCCGTGGACTTAGGCATGATTTGGTGAACCACGTTAAATCTTGGTTTTTGGTTGCTTGTGATATTTTCATTGGTGTCGTTATTCGTTTAATATTTAATTTCGTAGATTAATCTTTATAAAATTCCTAGCGGTATGCTATATGAAAAGTCATGTAAGGAGTAATTAATTATTTTTCAAATTTTAACAAAGCCTATACAATTACAAACTCGTCATCTCCATTGCAATCATGATTAGGAAAAAGGCATAGCATGATTAAAAATAATCAAACTTTTACCTAATATGTTTCTTTTTTTAACCCACAAATGAACATATGAAAACACCCACTCAACTGCCCTCCAACTATTATTAGAGTTAAAATTAAAAAGGGTTGACTAGTTTGTGTCATTATTAATCAAATTTCTTCACATTAGACCAGGCCAACTCCAGACAAGGACCTTTCCAACAAAACTGGTCTATTTTTATTTTGTATTTTTTTAATACTAGTCCTTTGCATATTTCGTATTTTGAAATTGTTCACTCAAATCATTGTAGATTCCTCCATTCTAAGTTATTCTGGATATATCCCTCAAATCATTGAAATTGCTATTAGGTCTCTCAATTCTCAAGTTATTTTAAATTTATCAACCCCCCACCCCCACCCCCCCCAAAAAAAAAAAAAAAAAAAAAAAACCCCCCCCCCCAAAAAAAAAAAAAAAAAAAGGAAAAAAAATCAAGGTTGAAACTAGCAATCACAGTGAATTTAAGCCCTGGCTTCATTGAAATAGCTACTATCGGATCCCTTGATTTTCATAAACTATTTCAAATTAAACTCTCTATTTGCTAGTAATACTGTTGATTAGAGAGACTAATTTCAGAATAACTTAACAATTGAGGTATCTCATAGCAATTTCAACGATTTGAGAGATTTACTTCATGATAATTTAAGAGGTGAGGTACCTAGAAATAATTTGAATTACTGGAGGGACTAATTCAGAATATGATAGATGTAAGAGGGGGGTAATACCAGGGGAAATATTTTATTTCTTTATTTCTTTCTGTCGGAGAGAGAAAGATAGGACTTTAGCTGCTGTCCTCTCTCTCTCTCTCTATAATCTCTCAAACTGGGGGAAAAATAACCCAATTTGTTAAAAAGTAAGTTTGGTCATAAAGGAAGTTGGTGAAATGGGTCCCGCTGTAAGCAGTTAGGAGAGAGAGAGGGGGAGGAGAGAGAAGCATCCGCTCACATTTTGAAGGTGAGTGTTTGTTTCTAGAGAGAGAAAGGGAAGGGGGGGGGGGGGGGAGGGGGGGGGAGAGGGCTTCATCTTTTAGCTTCTCTCTTTGATTGAGGAGGTGGGTAATGGCCACTGAAGCTTCTCCCAGTGGGCAGAGAGGCGTCCGAATCCAAGCACCGCTGGTGAGCTCACCTCCTTCGCTTTTTCCTTTTTTTTAATTCATTATTTGGGCAGAAAGAATATTTTTTTTTGGCGAATTGGGTTGCTGGTTCCTTTAAAGGTGTGATTTTTTGGCTGAAGCTTGCATTGACTTTGGGGAAATTTGTGTTGAAGAGATCAAATGCGGGTAGCATTTGGGTTTTTGTTATTTGTTCGAATTCTTTAGATGATAGATGGCTTTTGGGTTGTATTTGGTTTAGATCCTCTATTTTTTTTGGTGATTTAGAGAGAGATCCCTGGAAGATTGAGCTTGATCAGGTCGACGGGAACGCTAAGGGCTCTAATTTGATCACCGGGATAGGGTTTATGTGAATTTGAGAACATTTTGAGCTTTTCTAGAAATATGCACTCGCCATGTGCAGGGAAATTAATATCAAACTATGACAAGGAGGAGTTTGAAGGTCATCTTGTAACCAGAGGTTTGAGTGAAGTTTGAAAGTTGCCTTGGAAAAGGATTAAATTAATTAGGTGATGAACTCGAAGTGTCTTGCTCCATCATTATTACAGGAGGGGAGGCCGCGAAAAATAAAGGTGGTCTACGAGTATGTCGTGAGGGAGAGGAGGGAGGCGCGGGAGAGGGAGGAGGGCTAGGGATTGTTGAGATGGAGGTCCTGGAAGAGGAGGGAGAGGAGGTTGGATCTGTGGGAGAGGGAGGTGAAGTGGCGGGAGAGGAGGGGAAGCGAGGGGAGGAGGGGGAGGTCGTGGGAGAGGCGGAGTTTCTTGCCTTGGGCAGCTGCCCAGGGCAAGCAAGCTCTGGCTACGCCCCTAGGGGAGGGTGTTGTCATTTGTAAGCAAAGGAGTTATCCAAGAAGGGTCATGGATGTATCTTTCCTCTATAGTTCTCTTCTCTGCTAGAGATTTTATTATTGTATCTACTGGTATTTGGGGTTGTCAAACATATTGTGGATGGGCTGGTAGAAGAAGGGTTTGACTCTATAGAGCATAGAGGGTGTGAGTGAGAGACCTCTCTCCCGTATTTTGTACCATTATCCTTGATACTGGAAGTTTTATTATCATGATGCCCATGGATCAGATGTAGCTTAGATCAAACCGCATAAATCTTGGTCTCTCCATTATATTCCTTTCTTGGCTAGTCTGGGGGTATATGATTGATTTCGACCAAACATCAGGTTGCTTCCAATAATATGTAGAAATCCAAAACTTTTCATTATACTTACAAGATCTGATTCTTTTTTAGTAGTGGAGTCGCTTCTTATTTCCGGAGACCTTTACTAGGAAATTGAAATTGAACTGTAATTTAGTATGAATGAGGAGCAAATAATGCAATTGCAAAAGCTTGTGCATACATCTTAAGTTCTTTATACTATTTTGACAGAATATTGCATCTTGAGTCATGGGGTGATTTGACCTCCTAATCATTTTCACTTCATCGAATGTACCAAAACCTTTGTAATGATCATACTATTGTTTGATCGTGCTTTGGTTGGCTTGGATTAATAAATGGATAATGAATTGGCTTAGATTACATGCTCTACGATGTTTAACGTTGTCATATTCAGAGTATATCACTTTTAAGTAGTTTTGGCTAGTTTAGTTATGGGATGTTCATTACAACAGTAATCGCTTAAGGATTCATAAAATTGAGTTGATAGTTTTCCGCATTTGATGGCTTTCAGAATTTGCTTCTCTTGTAGGGACTGTGTTAAAACATTACTACATATTCCCTTAAATCTTTTTGGGAAGGTAAATTAAAGTTTAGCATTTGATCCACATAAGCATGACGTTATCAGGAATAAATGAGGTGGTTCATGCACCAGGAGGTGGACAAACTTGTGCTATGCATTCCTTGTACTATTAACCTTTGCTGATAATATATACTCTTTAGTAGAAGAATGACTTAGGGAACACAAATAGTCAATTGCTTCTAGATTTTTTATTACCATTAGACATCTAAAGACTTGGCTTATTTAGAACTTAAAACTGCCCAAAAGGTTTTCTAAAGAGTTCTCTGGTACAGGACGCCTCAGTATCTGTTGTGAGCTTCGTCTTGGGTACTGATTTTTTTTTTGTTTGAGCTTTGTCATAGTTTTCTGGTCTCATGATTATGTTTTATGTTTGAGCTTCAATCTTTACCTCTTTTCCACCTTTTATCCTCTACCTTGAATTGATACTTTATTATGTTTTCCAAATTATTGTGTTGGTTGGCTACTTTTATTTTACCTTCTCCTTTTCATTTCAAAATTATTTGTAGCATTCTTGGTGATTTCTTTGCCTAATAGAAATATTTAGTGCTCATAAGGCGAAGATGTAAGTGTGAGAAGACCTTAATGTATATGGACTCTCACCTTTCCAAGGAAAAGAGTGTGGAAAATAGATGAACCCAACCTTTATTATTCTTTAAGCATAGTTTCTCAATTAAACCGTAAAAAAATTTGATTTTACTTTTGTGAAAAAAAAACGCGGGGACGGAAATCCTGATAATGGATAAGCTGAGAACACGATAACGGCAACATTATATGTGTGTGAAGCGTAAATGTTATTTATATTTAACAATAACATGAATTTAAAAGGTTAAATGGTTAATAAACCACAAGAAGTCAGGTATGTAAAAAGATTTTCTGATTAAGCAGACCAATAGGTCGCTAGATACAAGAGTAATCGTGATTCTCCATTTAATAGCGGATAAATTATATAAATGATTCTACAAGTCAATTGAGATCCCGAGTTTATTCTTGCATAGATTCTTAATTTCTTACCTCTCAATACATCTCTTTATATCTTTGATGAGTTGAGGGTACATTGTAAATTTTTGGACATAAGATTGAAGTTAGTTTTTTTAATTATAAAAACCACCTTAAAAATAGGGTCATAATACAGAAATAACGTTTCATTTTTATTTTATACGTAAACTACCTTTTAAAGTAGGTTTTTGTTACAATCATCCACCATCTAGTCAAATTTTCACTAAAAAAAACCTTAAAAATGCACGGTTACGGTACATGACTTGTATCCTATTTAGACCTAAACATTAACAAAGTGAGTTGCATGTCTTGAATGTTTTTTTTAGGGGTATCTTTGGGTTTTAAGTGAAAAATTTGACATGAAGGTGATTGATTAGAGCGAAAGCCCATTTTAATGTTAGCTTGCGTATAAATTGAAAATGAAAGATGATTTGTGTATAATGACTCTATTTTTAAGGTGGTTTCAAGGAGAAAACCCTTGAAGTTACGCAGAAAGTAGCCATGATGTATGCAAGCATCTGTCATGTATCAGAGACAGGGATCAACTTGCTTCATGGTTGGTAATGAACTACCGAAGAAACTTGAAAAGCCCAAATGTCATCATCATCGCCTTCACCTTTTCCCCATTTAAATTGGAGGATGATTCACAAGAAACAAATCTCCACAGAAAAATTGAAACAAAGTTTATCATCTTTTAATGTAATGTAGGCCTTTGATCCCTTAATGAGTTGGTGCTGTATTCGTGACCAAGTTACTCATGAACAAAAGTGATATATGCTCTAGATCAAACTGTTTTATTTTGTAGTTAATGCTCATGCTACCAATGAGTTTAAAATGTATGATAGCATAATGATAACATAAGAAAGACATACAGTTCGAGCAATTAGAACGTGATGATATTGGGTGACCATAGGCCTGTCAAACTACACCTTGAGTTCTGCTTATTATGGATTCATATCTATGTAACTAGTACATACTCTTTTTCCTTCTAATTTTGAATACATTACAATTTTACCACAATGGATTTGAATCAGAGTTTGTTGTTTCACTTTATTGGTATTTAATGTATGACGATGCAACATTGTTTTGCTGACACCTGAAAGGTCCAAGTTTCAAAGGTTTAAGTGGAATAGGAGAAATAGGTTGAAGATAGAGTTATGATATTACTTTGAACATCGCAACTATGGTTTTACCAAGAGATTAGCTCCCCTAGCGCTTCTATTGATCATGGATTTGCAAAAGATGTAGAACACTACCTGTAGTAAGGCCAAGGTAGTGATGAGTAATTAGAAATGTCCCTCTGAATTAAATGATTGTAAGTGTGCTTGTTTCAAGGAATGTTCTTTATCAACATGGACTTGCCTAAAGCATGTTCTAATGTCATGGCAGCTAGGTCTACCAATAGCTATAAGATAATTGTAATGAAGATGAGATGTTGTTTTTGATATGAATAGCTGGAGGGGTGAAGTTAGAAGCAAGTGTAGACTATTATCAGTGATCTGCAATAAAAGGTTAAAGTGAGGGGAAAAGTCTAATATGGTTAGGACGCATGGATGTTAATTCATATATGACTAGGATGAGAAGGGTATCATGAATACATGTACGGCATTGTTAATTATCACATATTCATAAACATCTTCTGTTAAAAGATGAAAACTAACAACAGCAGGGCCTTTATCCAGGTAGGTCATGCATCAATTCCTTATCTACATTTTGCTAGGGACCATCCCTTTTTGATTCAAAGCTGCATATTCTTTTCTTCCTGCTGCAATCATGTCCGTTAGCTGTAGCTAAAAGTGGAATTTTGATCCAACTTGATAACTTAATCTGAAGTTGGCTTGTTCTGTCCTTTCTTAATCAGATTCATAACTTAGATGGTTCTCCCAACTGATATGTTTAACACTGGTTTGAATTTTGGTCTATTCCTTTGACTCGCTTAACCGAGTCAGCCCAAGTATAAAATAATTGCTTTTACATTGATCCCATATGCGCAAAGGAGCTGCTAAATGGTGGTCAGTTCACTTGTATTTTCTTGCTAGTGCTCAGTGGTACTGAATTTGGATCCAGCACATTCAGGTGTTTAATCCTTAAATGCACTAAATTATCATGGAATAACTATGAACTGGTTAACCATATCATCCTTATCATTTCAATTTCTTGATTTTAGGTGATCATCCATTGTGACCAGGTTATTTTCATATCCAGCTGTTGATGTTCATTTGTTTACATTCATTCTTTTGGATTATCATGATAACGAACTATTTACTTCCTAAAGGTGCCAATCCCCCAATACATGCACTTTGAACATGAATCTGCTTGTCACAATCTGTAAATTATATATTATTTCTACATTCAATGATGATTCTAGACAATTAATTCCGTCGTGTGATTTCTTGATCAACATTTCTCCCATTTGGTAGAAATTTGATTACTATATGTACAGACGATGGCCTTTTTCACTTGTACTACAACAACAAAGTATATGGGAAAATATTTGACAGCTATCTTAAGAAAAAAATAATAAGCCATGATTTAAGTAGTCCTCTCTAGTCAAAAGTGATGCAAAAATATCTACATGCTTGGCCTTCTTTCTAGTATTTTATTAATTTTATGTGTTGCACAAGGTCACAAGATAACAAGGTCATTTAAACTCTTTTTAATCCTATATCAATTCATGATTTTCTTCACTGACACTCAGTCTGTTCTCATCGTAAAACAGGTTGAATCAGTATCATGCTATTGCAGGGTAGATGCAGGCTTAAAAACTGTAGCAGGAGCAAGAAAATTCGTTCCTGGAGCAAAATTATGTACCCAACCTGATATCAACCCAAATGGACCTAAGTCTAGGAGCTCACGGCGTGAGAGATCAAGAACCCAAGCACCTCTAATCCCTGGCCTCCCCGATGACCTCGCCATTGCTTGCCTAATCCGAGTTCCTCGATCCTACCACCAAAACCTTCGATTAGTCAGTCGAAGATGGAACCGTCTCCTCTCTGGAAACTACTTTTTCTCCCTTAGAAAAAGAAGCGGAATGGTAGAGGAATGGGTTTATGTAATCCGAAGAGATCGTGATGGTAAAATATCATGGCATGCTTTTGATCCCATCCATCAATTGTGGCAGCCTCTACCTCCGGTTCCTTCCGAGTACTCAGAAGCACTTGGGTTTGGTTGTGCTGTTCTTAGTGGCTGCTATCTTTACTTATTTGGAGGTAAAGACCCAATTAGAGGTTCATTGAGGAGAGTTGTGTTCTATAATGCTCGAACTAATAGATGGCATCGAGCTCCTGATATGCAAAGGAAACGTCATTTGTTTGGTGCTTGTGTCATAAATAATTGCCTCTACGTTACCGGTGGAGAGTGTGAAGGTATGCAGAGAACTTTGAAATCAACCGAGGTTTATGATCCTAATAAGAACAGGTGGGCTACTGCTGCTGAGATGATCACCGGGATTGTTCCCTTTATTGGAGTTGTCCACGATGAGAAGTGGTTCTTGAAAGGGCTAGACTCACATAGACAAGTCGTAAGTGAGGTCTATGATCCTAAAACCAATAGCTGGTCTATAGTTAACGATGGAATGGTCACTGGATGGAGAAATCCAAGCATTTCGATCAATGGAAAGCTTTATGCTTCAGATTGTAGAGATGGTTGCAAGCTGAGAGTATATGATGAGCTGAGTCATTCATGGAGCAAGTTTATGGATGGAAGATTTCATCATATGGGAAGTTCTCGTTCTTTGGAGGCTGTGGCATTTGTTCCTGTTAATGGGAAGCTGGGCATTGTTCGTAATAATATGAGCATAAGTCTTGTTGATGTGTTAAATCCTGGCAAAGTTATTGAAACTAGTAGTGGTCAGCATTGGGAGAGCGTTGCTGGAAAAGGGCAGCTCAAGACTTTTGTTGCAAACTTGTGGTCGAGTATTGCAGGTCGAAATGGTTTGAAGAGTCACATTGTTCATTGCCAAGTTCTTCAAGCCTGATAAATGAGAGTATGTTGGAGGATTCAGTAGTGGAACTTCAGTGGTTATGGAAAATAATAAGAGTTTCAGAGGTTAGTCGATACAATATACAGTAAGTTCTCCTGCTGATGCTTACTTGATTTTCCTCCTGAAACGTAAAGTTTGTTCCAAATTAAAACATTTTGAAAAGGTTCAAGTCACATTCTGGCTTTTCTTTGAGTTATGAAAAGTCTGTTATATGTTTGAGTACGGGGGAAAATTGATAATCAAGCAGAAGTCCTTGAGTTTTCAAGTTGAAGGGAATGTGGCATTGATCTTATGTAAACATGATAAATGATAATTTTGTTCACGCATGTTGTTTTTTGCCTAAAAGCATGCTGATAGGTCCATGGTATTCAAGAAATAGAGCTCCTTGGGAGAAAATATCTAATGGTGACGGTCCATAGCAATAAATTTGCACCCAAAGAAAGTCAACCTTTGGTTATGAGCACGAATCCTAAAATCTAATGATCCGATTGCTGACATTCAGTTGGTGCACATTTAATGCCATAGATCCGGATGCACTTGGTACTTTACCACTCTTGGAACGGTTAGAGAAAGCAGTTCCTACATTGGCGATGACTATGTAATTTTTTCAGATCCTGTTGTCACTATTTAGATCCATATGTACTTAAGTATTCTAATATGAAATATTTCTTGAGTATTCTGTGTTGCTGTTCTCTTAGTTTCATTGAACTTCTTAGCTGAGCTAGCCAAGTTAAGTCTTACAATTGATAGAACGTATAAATGGTGAGATGAATTTGTTTGTCTAAGTTTTACGTCATATTCTCGTCTGATCAGACATCCCAGTGTAGAAGAGAAATTTGGAAAGAAAATCAAAGATGATAGCTTTGTTCAAGAAGAAAACAGTTAAAAGTTCTTGCAGCTGAGTTCAATAAAGATGTCGATCAGTATGAGATTTGAATCTTTATAACTTCGTAGAACTGCTCTGATATCATATTAAGGGCCTGTTTGGCAATTTACCCATTAAGAAGGATAATAGCACTAATTTTGATAAGGGCTGCAGAATGGTAAAATCTTATACAAAATTGGACTAGATTTTTTTGCTCCCGAAAAAAAAGACCTTTTACCTAGGTTATTTTTGGACCACCCCCATCAATTGTAATCCGATTAAGACTTTAACCAGATTAGTGTGAAGTTGCCAAACACCCCGAACTTTTGAGCAAGGTTTTAAATATCGGTTATCGGGAATTTATCGGACGATCAAAATTCTTATCGGATAGCGGAAATCGGGGATATATCGGGGATAAGTAGTATTTATCGGAGTGATATACTAGATGGTGTATATATATAATATAATAACTAAAAAATATAATCTAACCATGCTTAATGAAATATAAACATACCAAAATGTAAATCATCATGTTTAGAATCACTAACCAATTATAGAAAGCAAAACATGCATCTTGACCGCACGATGAAACCATTTGATTGCATAGCCTTACTTATCGGCCGATAATCCCGATAAAAAAACCTTACTTATCGGCCGATAAGTACCGATAACGCCGATAACTCCCCGATAACTTGCCAAAAACGATAACCGATTAAAAATCCAAGTTATCCTATCGGAGAGCTCCCAAATCCGATAACTCGGCCGATAATATCGGTTATCGGCCGATATTTAAAACAGTGCTTTTGAGTAAATCCGTTCTCGATACAATGTTCTTCTACTCTAGGTTTCAAAAGGCCTCGGATGCAAACCTCATATAGGGAGGGGTCAACCAAGTAGGGGAGTTGGAACTCATATAGTGAGGAAAGGAGCTGAGCTCGTGGCTTGTCAAGCATCTCTTTGGTCATGGCCTCATGATGGTCATGATAGCTTTGAAGAAAATGCTCTTTCCTGATAAAACGACAGCAGCTTTGGCTTTCGCAGCAGAGCTTACATGCGCTTCAGTTGAGATTTCAAATTTAGTATATGCGCTTATTTCTTCAAATGCACACAATTTTGATATCTAACCCAAACATCAAGTAGATACGTGACAACTACCAATTAAATCTTTTGATCGAAAGAACTACAGGAGCAGAATAGCCAACATCATAACCCTCAAAATATCTAAATGGAGTACAACAAATGATTGATTTTAGGTCTCCATAACGCCATACGATTTTCACTTTTATCTGAACTCATTATTGAAGGTTATCATACTGTAGCCAAAATACCAAAAGCATCATACAAACAGGTTCAGACAACCACAAGTGGCACTAAACTTCACCGTCAATTTCAATTCCTTTGCCTCTAGTGCCATAAAGCTTCAAGAAGAAATCAATTCTAGTTCAAAACTTACCCTGTAAAATACGTGATAAGTTGAAGTTGAGGAAAATTGGATTCGACCTCAATGAAACACTTTTAAGTGTGCTAGCTTATGAGAATTCTAGGCAGGTAATACCTAACGTGATCTCTGGTCTTCAATCAGAATTTGGTTGCAGTTGTCCACGTGCCCTGAACACTGGGATGTTTGGTGACGTGTCTAGTCCGCAGTTTCACCACTTTCCTTCCCAATGCGTTCCTTAGCCTTGTTGCATGTAGCAGGATATCTTCTGGTTCTAAATTCTTCACACAAATCACCCGTTCATTATGATTCTCTGTGTGCAGTATGGAAATGGTTATGACTGATTATAGCAGTATAATGAGCAGAGTATAATACTGATGCACTTACTATACCAGAAAATGCTTTATCAGATCACACAGATCTTGGAATTGAAAGCAGATCTTGAAATTGACAACGACTTGCAATCAAATACGCTAGATAATTGTGTAATCTTTTAAATTTATCATAGTGATGACAGTGAATATTAAAGTTTTGACAAAAAAAAAACTTGATATCATGGAATATTAAAGATTATGTAACTCTAAATGAGCTGATCTAAAAGAGTAAGCCAACAAGTTATAAAAAGAGTACAACTCTACTTAACAAATCAATATTGTTTGATGTTTACATGCAATAATTAGTTCTTTTATGAAGTAGATAATCATAATACTTTTGTAGATATCTAGATACAAAAATCATTTACTAGTAAATATACACCTATCTGTTCACGAGAAATGGATCTCTACAGATTTCCAGTCCTCAATGAGAAACTCCTGCTAATTATATTCCTCTTATCTATTCGTTTTCTCAGTACCACACTTCTAAAAGCCCAAAAATAATATATATAAAAAAAAGGAACACAAAAGTCACAGTTTGAAGAGATCTATAATACGAAATTGATACCGTCATACAGAATATAAAGTCAGATCAATAAGCATTAAGACAAATCCAAACTCAATCTGTATTTTGAATCGAATTGGTTACAGAAATCAGTGTAAACTGATATACCTAGGATGATCCAATTACTTCTTGATCGGATAAGGTTGACTGCAAAAGTGCAAATCTGGTTTTGAATTAAGTGAACTAAATCTATATCATTTGAGTAGGAGGCAGAAAGCCATTCATCAAAGTTTACAATGAGCATTAGTCAGGCAGCCACTATCAAGCAAAACAACGTTCAATTAAGTCAGAAAGCAGATATAAAAACACACATAATTCATGTATGCGGCACATCATGAATTCACAATTGAATTGTCCGTGCAGCATAGCAGCTAGTGAAAAGGTACTCGTCCAAGTTGGATTACCAAAATCCCAACTAACAAGATATGTAACTTGTTTAAAGCATGAGGCGTTGTTTTAATTATCCCCGACATGTCCCGATATGTCCTTTTATAGGGCTTGCCGCAATCAATATGGTCTCTAAATAATAAATATCCTATACCACATTTTAGCCATTTTGGGCATTATATCCCCAATGTAGCCGATGTATCAGCTGTATGTTGGCCGATATATCCTTTTATATGACTTATCACAAAATAATGTACCGTGTTTGGCAATTTTTGGGCAAGATATCATGTTTTCCCATTATATCATGATATTTTGACCTAAAAAATTTGACGATATGTAGCAATGTTGATTTGTACTTTTGTTTATTTTATAAGGTTGATTAGTGATCCTAAATATATATTATTTGCATTTCGTATACTTAGATTTCATTAAGTATGTTGAGATTACATTTTAGTATATTATACTATATATGCAAACATCTATTTTGTCATTCTGATATTTACCACATATCCCCGATATTCGCAATCTGATATGAATTTTGGTCATCCGATATTTTCCCCATATCCGATATTTAAAGCCTTGGCATGAGGTCAATTCATTTTGATCATAAATCCTGGGTTGATCGGCATTTCTATCTCAGGTAGATTAGACAAATCTTTGTAATAGTGATGCAAGTTGCAGGGCTTAAAACATAAATCTCAGCACTTATGGGTATTAGCTTAATATGACTGGAAAGAACAGATTTTTGGCAGCCTATAAAAGGACTAAGGTTCCTCTTACTCGAGTCAACAATATTTGAAGTTACTAAAAAATCTATCAGAGATATATTATTTAGAATTATTACCTAATATTTGATAATAAGTAGGTTGCCTATACTGAATGAAATATCATGGATTTAATGAGAATAGCTGGTGGTACCACATGCTTCAAAAGTAATAGCCACAGGATAACATTTTGTTTAATCGCTGTACAAAAGATCTCAAATTTAAGCATAGGGCAAATTAGTGAACAAATGGAATGAAAGATAGCTTACTATACTGGCCCTTCAAATGAGGATGTTGACCACGGATGAGCTCCGTAACCACTTCTAGCTGAGGATTCTTTTCCTTAAATGCCGGCAGTTGAGACTCCATAAACGCCCTGCTATTCATATATTTACTGATCTTTAGGCATCCCACTCACCGAGCAATAGATAAATATGTATGCTTGCAACCAATAAAGGATAGTCAAAGCAAATAATTGAATATGGATGAACCCAAACACAACAATTTATACATTAAAACATCTTCTCAAAGCGTTAATTTTTTCATAAATTAAGGCGAGCAACATCCTTCATCGGACATCCCCCATTAAATGATTTGAAATTTAAGCTAGGTTAGATACTTCTAACTGATGCCGACCTCAACTTTTCCTATAGACCTTTTTAACAGGCAAAATAATGTACTGGGACATCTGCTGCCATGATTCTTTTTTAAAAAAATCAACCTACCGATCTTACAGTCAAGGATACGGCAGATTCCTAAGTCTATACGTTCTAAATTTTCTAACTATTGATAAGGTTTTGACCAAACGCTTTTAAGAATTGACATCCCCGGTCAATTTTATTTGTATGAATATAATAAAATTACTCTGTAATAGAAAACAAATGCATTAAAAAGCCAGCAGCTATTACGTTTAAGCAAGTTCTAAATACATTAAAAAGTGCTTCAGCAAAATATAAGAAAAATGAGTTTAGAGTGTAGATTGATGTCACAAAATATAAGAGGTCAAGAAGTGAAAATTTAAAGGATAAGGTTATATTTCATGCTTCCGGTAAGTGTTTTTTGCTGTTACAGCAATAAAACTGCTTGTTCAGTAAATTTACATGTTTGGTCATCAACGCTAAAAAAAAAACCTTTTAAGCACAAGTCAAAAGGCTGCAATCTGGAGAAGAGAAATTTTCAAATTTCTCTGAACCATAGAAGAAGTCCTCCTTGTGACCATTCCTCTTCTCTTACTATTTTTTCCTCTTATAAAATCTCTCTGGAGACTAAACTGAATTTCCTCATTCCTTTAGATCTTTACCTATACTCTCCCTTAAAAATCCATCCTAATCCAAATTTAGCCTAACATATTTATTTCATATTCTGCCTTCTAACTTTCAGAAAGCGCTTAAGAAGTTAAATATCGATCTATATCAAAAGTTTTTATGGAGAATTTCTAGATAACAAACTGAAACTCTTCATATGATTATGTACATCTATAGAAGTTAAAGAAGTACCTAATTCCCCTGCTACTTCCTCCCCAATCACAATAGCTAACTATCAGCTTCTGAAGTTGCCAGACACCTCGAAGTGCCATGTGTGAAAGATCAAAACAAAAAGTGTATCCTGCAACAAAGATCAAATGATTTCTTCAAAAGCTAATGCAAGAACAGAAAAGAATACAACTAGAATAAACTATATATGGCTGCTAGGGTAAGTCTTACGCACATTGATCTTACACACTTTCGCCAGCTCAGCATATGGTCTATGCGGTAACAAAAGCAATAGATACGAAGATGCAACTTTGGAAGCTTTTTCATGTAGTGGATCATGATGATTTATTTATCTTTATGCTGTTAGATAATAATCATTTTATAGGCGTATCAGATGGTTGTACTTGCTTTTTCTTATACATGTTTTTCTTCTAGGATAGTGTCTCATTTTCCTGAATGAGCAATATTTAATGTGATTATTATTTAACAGGTCAAGTATATAGTATTATTTATTCATAAGCAATTTTTAGGTTAGCATAGATTTTCCATTTCTATTATGTAGGAGAACAGATGGAAAAACTACAAACAAACTACCAAGTTAAAGTTGCTGATTCTTTCCTAACATTGAAAAAATAAACACGATTCATTAATTTGCTTCCGTAGAGACGAAGTCAAAATATTTGTGTCTTAAACACAAGTAAAGCAACATTGTTTCGATCAGATAGATATCCTCAGAACTACTAGAGGATGCATTTGTACTGGTACAAAGTCAGGAAAAATCAAGAAAATGCAAGGTTACATTGTGGATACCACACACACCCTATCAATTTGCCCTTGTGATACCCCGACATGGCCAAATTGGTCTCATACCGCGTCGGGTACGTTTTGGGTGCGGATCCGCACCCAAACGACAGGGACACGATGATTGAAGACATGAGGGAAAAAAAAGTACCCGAGCTTCGAGGGAGGAGTAAACGACGATCTTCGAGGGTTCAAGGGACGACGAGCTTCGAGGGACGACGAGCTTCGAGGGAGGAGTGAACGACAAGCTTTGAGGGAGAACAGTGAAAACCCTAGCTCTAGAATCCACTTAGAGTCGGATCTGAAGGAGGAGAGAGGAGAGAGGAGCCGATCTGAAGCAGGAGGCTGATAGAAGCAAAGGAGAAAAGTGTAAACCCTAGCCCTAGAACCCACTCTTACCTATTTATATGGATAGCATTTGTAAATAAAAATTATATTAGTTCTAAATTGTTTATAAATGTAATTATATTAGTTCTAAATTGTTAATTAAAATAAAAATAGCTTACATTTGTATAGGTAATTATATTTGCAACTTTAAACAATATACTTGTAATATTTTGAGGGATGCTTGTAATATTTTGGGGTATAGTTCTAACTTGTGAAGGTATGCTTATAATTTTTAACTCTCGTTTCGCGAGGTAGGCTTGTATTTTTGTATGCTCAAGATGAAAGTAATGAAAATTAGAATTTGGTATTGTCTTCAAATCAGTTACATAACTTATATTTGTTATTTATTATACAAGCCAATGTTACACAATAATATAACATAAAAATTGATCTATTTTTCTATATGTTCATCTTCTCTTTCTTGTCTTCTTTAACATTATTGTCTTCAATTCTCCAAGAGATCATTGTCATTCTGACGTCTTAATTCACACCTGCAACATGCACTTTCCTTTAGTTTCTTATTTATTTTTTTAATAAAAATAAAACAAGGGATACACCATGTTCATTATAGTAAAAGGAGATAAGTATAGTTACATTTAGTTTCTTATTTATAATATCCACTTTACATAACAAAAAAAATATGAAAATGTAATAGGTATTTAATTCAATATTGATCTAAAGTGAATTATTTTATATATATACATCTGTGTCTCGTACCCTACTTTTTACAAATTTACCGTGCCCCGTACCTGTACTCCGTACCCGTATCTAGACAACATAGATTTGCTTGCTCATACATCCATACAAATACACACATACAAAACTATTGGAGCTTGCATTCATATTAGGCAGGGAAATATTGTGCAAAAAATGATAAATTCTCAAAGAAGGGTCCAGACTGCAGTGAGATAGTAGATGAAAAATAATAAAATTCACAAACATAGCCATACACAAATGCATAGTATTGCAATGCAAACTCCTTTGCAGAACCAACTCATGTCTCCAAAAACTCACAGCCATAGGAGGTAGCTACCTACATAATTACATATCCTACTGCTAAATTAAACAAGTGATAATATAGTTGTAGGCACAGATATGCTACAGTTAAATTTTGAACTTCATTCATTTTTAATAATTATTTGTCAAGAGGAACCGATCAAATTAATTTTAGTAAAGCTTTAAAGAAAAAACCTACAAAAGTAACTACTTTTGTTATATAAGATCAATCATTCGTCATGATGGTGCGATTGAGAATAGTGTTGTCCATCGAGATGGTTAAAACAAAGAACGCTTTATCCATTAGCATGTTGGGTAATTAAAAAACATATGAAAAAAAATGAATGTAGTAGAAATGAGAATGTTATGATGGTCTTGTAGGTATACACTAAAAGATGGGATAAAAACAAGTACATCTGTAGGAAATTAGAGTATTGGAGATAAAATGAGAGAGAATGGATTGAGATGGTTTGATCATGTACAAAATAGGTCCCTTAGTGCACTGGTTAAGAGACGTGATAATGTTATAGTTAATGGGGGCAAAGATGCAATGTTACAGAAAGTGCTAGGCAGACTACGCATTTGAGCCGGCACCTAGCCCCTAGACGGCACCTAGGCGTTTGCCTATTTTTTAAAAATTATTTAATTATAATAACCGACAAAAACACATTCTTTAGTCTTCTATATCTTAATTCTTAACCCTTGCTTCCTAGAACACCAACTCTTATGCACAAAATGCATATGAAACTGATTATAACAATTTAGCGGATAGTGGATAATGGAAAGTAGCTTGTAAATACAAGAACATAATTATAACAATTTAGTATGAATTTCTCCAAACTTTAATATGAAAATCAAGAAGCAAAATTTTGTTCATTACTTCCTCGTCATGGCTCAAGACATTCTTACAACATTTAGTATGGATTTATCCAATAATCAACCAAAAAAAAACAAACAAAGCAAAACATTGAAAAAACAACGATAAAATTGAAAATTTTACCTTGAAGAAGAAGACTTTAAAAGAAGAGGAGGAGGAGTGGCCGGAGTGGTTGAGGATGGCTTGCGGTGCTCGATAGAGGAGGAGACGACAATAAGGAGGCGGCGGCCGTGAAGACGAAGAGGCGCAGCCGAATGGGGAGGGCCGGAGATAGATTAGGGTTAGGGTTTGGGTTTGGGGAGAAGGTCAAGAGGCAGGCAGGGTTTAGATTTGGGTTTTGGTAGGTTATTGGGTCGGGTAAGATTTTTTCTTGTACCGTAAAATCCAAACCAATAACCATACTTGCCCACAACATACTTATCTAAGGAATAAATATAGTTTTCCCTCAACTCAGCCATTAATCATGTCAAATTGTCTTAACTAACTGAAAAATTAATATAGTTTTCCCTCAACTCAGCCATTAATCATGTCAAATTGTCTTAACTAACTGAAAAATTAGTACCTTGTGCTTGTTTCGTAGGCTGTTTCTGAAAATTAAAAATACGAAAAGAACAATATATGGTACAAAAAGAACAATATATGGTACGAAAAAAATCACTAGATCATAGACTCCCCAAAATTCAACAGATCACAAATTGGGTAATAAATGAGCATGAATGAAACCTTAGAAAGAGGAATAGATTATCTATGATCAAATTAATTTACATGAAATCCAATGATCAATTCTGGAAACGGAACATTTGAGCTTGAATCAAATTAATTTAAAAAAACTTGAGCAAAATGAAAGAAACCTAATTTTGATGAAGCTTAAAGAGAGAAAGAGAGAACTTACATAGAGGATCGAGCTCGCCGTTTGTCGCCGCTCGTCGCTCGCCGTCACTCGTCGTCACTTTTGATGAAACGCGCCGCTCGCCGCTCGCCGCCGCACACAGATGGGAAATCTAGGGTTTCGTTTATGAGAGACGAAGAGAGGACGGGTTGCTAGACAAAGGAGCGTGACGGCCCGAATTTTCAATCGCGGTGTTATGCACTTATACGGGTGAGCTCTTTGTGTTACACGGGTCAGGCGGGTCAACCTAACTTACCCATCTAATAAACGGGTCAGTTCGGGTTGACCCGTTTATGACCCAATCTATATAACTTGATCCATACTTAATATAAACGGATCAGATCGGGTCGGGTCAAAAACTGCCACCCCTACTACAATTCCACCAGGCTTTGGGAAAATGGGCTATGAATCGTGGGTTTATTTTATGGGATTTTCTTTTCCATGGACAGCGCATTTGTTTGGGTTATTTAGATATCACGCGATTCACGCCCTCAACTTCGATAGTTCCATATTATCATTAGTCATCTAAAAGTTCTTGAAATTTGCCCCCTTATGATCAAAATACTCTCATCTAAACTTTTTTGTGAAGGGTGCACAAAAAAAAATCCGTGTTTGAGAAACTATTCATGTCCATATCTTTATCTATCATAATTCAAATGTGATTACTAAAATTTATATCTGGATTAGTATCCAAAATATCTAAATAAATATTGACCATATTGTTGCAATAATTTTTATCCCTAAATTGATGGATTTGAGGTTACTTTTGATGATTTCTAATCTTAGTTTTTTATATATAACGAACATATTGATGAACTCTCTTGTATCATATGAATTATACTTTTCTTAATATTATCTACTTTTCTCATATTTGTTTTGTATCCATATGTATATTCGAATGCATTTCCCTATTAGTATTCCGTTTTAGCGGACATGGATATAAAATTTTCTTATCGAGACATATCCGTATCCATATCTATGGTTGGAAAGTGGATACAAATATGGTAAGTATCATATTCAAGTCCTTTCTGGACCATATGCACTCATAGTTGTTTGCCATTTGACATGCTAAGGTTTATACTTATTTAATATTAATACCCTAATTTTTTTGGCCCATTGTTGAATGAAGTTTACACCATTTTAACTTTGATATACAAAGTTTTCTTTTGACACTTTTAATAACCCAAAATTTAAAGATTTTAAACTTTCATATTCAAAGTTTCCACATCGCAAACTTTTTTTAATAACACATTTTAAACTTTAATTGATCAAAATTTACACATTTTTTTAAACTTTGCTAAACTAAGTTTAGAGTATCAAAGTGTCAAAATCAAAATTTTGGATATTAAATTTTTAAAAAATATGAATTTTTTTGTAACAGAGTAGAAAGATCTTTCAACGCATTAAGTTTAAAATTAGTGTAAACTTTAGGCTATTAAAGTTCAGATTAAACTTGTAGATACTAAGAAAGGCATAAGGATCAGGATATGAAAGTACAAATAACTATTTTTTGAACAAGATTGGTTTTGAGAGGGAAAACATAAATGAGATGTTTGTTGATCATTGAGGGACCCTATCGCAAGACCCCTAAGTATTGAGGGACTAATACACAATTTCAAAGGTTTGGGGGACAAGTATCTAGATAACCCTATTTGTCTTTTTAATTTTAGAAAAATTTTTAACTATTAAACTTTGGAACTTTCAGGACGAAAGAATAGATTACTATTACTAAACGTTGCTTTTCATTTTAATATTTCATTAATTTTTTCAGAAAACTTATCATGCCTACCTAGATAACACCTTGAATTTTCTGATGAAACAAGAAATATCTTTTATTTCCTTTTTAGGATGTTTCCATTGATTGGTCATCGCGGATTCGTTCTACCGAAAGCCATGCGCTCGTCTTCACAAATAGCCAAAATTTCCTTTCGTCCGCTATCTTTGCCGTTGGTAGACAAGAATAACAGAAGTTCAACCTACATCTTATCTCGGATCTTTTATAATTAGTTGGCAATTATAAAAGGTTCAATTATTCTAATTTTTATTCTTCACTCCAATCTTAATTCACAATATTAGGCGCATGTAGAAAAAGTCTAAGAGCCGTCGCTAAAAGTGACTGTCCTTAGAGGGCCCGTTTGGATGAGGTATTTTGCCCTGAAAATTGAGAGGAAAGCTGTCAAAATGGTAGCTTTTTGGCAGCTTTCCCCCAAAATCGCATCTTAAAGAGGTAATTTTGGGAGAAAGCTGCCAAAAAGCTATCATTTTGACAGCTTTCCTTCTAATTTTCGGGGCAAAATACCCCATCTAAACGGGCCCTCAATTGGCTAGGTGGGCTTAGGTACAGGGTTGGGTTTAGAGTTTGAATATGTATTTAGGGATGAGATTTTTTTTAGGGACAAGTGTTCCTCTCACAATGTGAGTGACAGCTACAGTACCTTCTCGCAAATGTTGCTAGAACTCCTCCCCGCATATAGAGGGTGTCATTTTGCATGAAGTGAAAGATGAAAGTGAGAAAACGATTTTATTTAAATATTTTAGATGTTTGTTTGTATGCAAATCTAATACTATTATAAAAGTGTGTTGCCATGTTAAAACATTTCTACCCAAAATACCATTTAAAACACATACATGCATACATAAAACACATGCATCCATTCATATAAACACATACATATACATGCATGCATTCTTAATAATGACATAACTCTCCTATTAACTGTCCACTAATAATAACTTCTCTTTTTTTATAACCCCTCCACTAATACAATATTTATGTTATCATAAATTTTTTAAGATTGTAAGTTGTATTTGACATAATAGCTAAGAATTGAATGCTCACACATATGACAAACTAATAATATACGTTTCAATTTGCAAACAAAGTGTTAACTTAAAATGCTTACATGCATACATTCTTAATAATAGTGTAACTCTCCTGTTAATTGTCCACTAATATTAACTTCTATTTTTTATAACCCCTCCACTAATCCAATATTAATGTTATCATAATTTTTTTTAAAGATTGTAAGTTGTATTTGACCACTAATATTAACTTCTATTTTTTGTAACCCCTCCACTAATCCAATATTAATGTTATCATAAATTTTTTTAAGATTGTAAGTTGTATTTGACATAATAGCTGAGAATTGAATGCACACACATATGAAAAATTAATAATATACGTTTCAATTTGTAAACAAAGTGTTAACTTAACATGCTTACATGCATACATTCTTAATAATGGCATAACTCTCCTATTAATTGTCCATTAATATTAATTTTTATTTTTTGTAACCCCTCCACTAATCCAATATTAATGTTATCATAACTTTTTTTTAAGATTGTAAGTTTTATTTGACCACTAATATTAACTTCTATTTTTTGTAACCCCTCCACTAATCCAATATTAATGTTATCATAAAAAAAATTTAAGATTGCAAGTTGTATTTGATCACTAATATTAACTTCAGTTTTTTATAACCCCTATACTAATACAATATTAATGTTATCATTAATTATCCACTAATATTAACTTCTATTTTTTGTAACCCCTCCACTAATCTAATATTAATGTTATCATAAATATTTTTAAGATTGTAAGTTGTATTTGACATAATAGCTGAGAATTGAATGCACACACATATGACAAACTAATAATATACGTTTCAATTTGCAAACAAAGTGTCAACTTAAAATACTTATATGCATACATTCTTAATAATGGCATAACTCTCCTATTAATTATCCACTAATATTAACTTCTATTCTTTATAACCCGTCCACTAATCCAATATTAATGTTATCATAATTTTTTTTAAGATTGTAAATTGTATTTGACCCCTAATATTAACTTCTAATTTTTGTAACCTCTCCACTAATCCAGTATTAATGTTATCATAATTTTTTTTTTAAGATTGTAAGTTGTATTTGACATAATAGCTGAGAATGGAATGTACACACATATGACAAACTAATAATATACGTTTCAATTTGCAAACAAAGTGTCAACTTAAAATGCTTACAATAATATACGTTTCAATTTGCAAACAAAGTGTCAACTTAAAATGCTTACATGCATACATTCTTAATAATGGCATAACTCTCCAAACAAAGTGTCAACTTAAAATGCTTACATGCATACATTCTTAATAATGGCATAACTCTCCTATTAATTATCTACTAATATTAACTTCTATTTTTTGTAGGAAAATGATCTAAGGACCCAAAATATGGGACCAAGGGAGGGGACAGGTGAGGTGTCCCCTCCTTATTGCATAATGAGTTGGCCATGAGTTGGCATGGCTAACTCATTATGCAATAGGGAGGGGACAACTCACATGTCCCCTCCCTTGGTCCCATATTTTGGGTCCCCGTAGCAGCACTTTTTTTTGTAACCCCTCCACTAATCCAATTTTAATGTTATCATAATTTTTTTTAAGATTGTAAGTTGTATTTGACCACTAATATTAACTTCTATTTTTTGTAACCCCTCCACTAATCCAATATTATGACCACTAATATTAACTTTTATTTTTTTAACCCCTCCACTAATCCAATATTAATATTATCATAAAAAAAAATTTAAGATTGTAAATTATATTTGATCACTAATATTAACTTCTATTTTTTGTAACCCCACACATATATGGCAAACTAATAATATACGTTTTAATTTTTAAACAAAGTGTCAACTTAAAATGCTTATATGCATATATTTTTAATAATGGCATAACTCTCCTATTAATTGTTCACTAATATTAACTTCTATTTTTTATAATCCCTCCACTTAAAACGCAACAAACTAATAATATACGTTTCAATTTGTAAACAAAGTGTCAACTTAAAATATCATTAGTGAATGCATTCATACATACTTGAAATGAGAGTAACATTTTTAATTGTAGTTTTTATTTAAGTGGCAATTATATTTGACTGTTACGGAATCCAAAGAGCCTGCTTTTTATTTATTTATCATAATAGCCCTTACTTGCAACCTATATCAATTCACTCATTTGATGATTTAGATTTACATTTACCTCTTACAACTCTAACAACATCCTATACTCACCACATGGCTTTACTATAATATTATTTGGATGATACAAGCTCACCAGTGAAAACATTATCCCTTCAGAAGAGATAACGACAAAGGGGGCTGAAGACGATTGAAGTTGTATTGAGGAACTACTGAGCTTTACTCGGATTATACTTTATACTGATGTGATTATTAGACTGACGGCTATATGCGGATTGAGGATACAATTGATACAAGGAAATATGGAGAATTCGGATTGAGGCTAAAGTTTGAGGTCTAATTTTGGGGGGTTTTAATAAACTTTTTTCTATTTCTATAATTATTACTATGTACTTAATTATGATTTGAGAGAAATATTATATTATCCATGAACTTAGTAGATATATTTTTTTGTAGCATGTTACTAATTATATGATAATAGAAGAGAGATAAGGTGAAAGTGAGAATTTTATTTTGTTATAATGGATTAGCAAAAATAAAGATAATTAATATAAACTGGAATAACATGACACACTTAACATAAAAAGTAAAGAACAAACTTGAAATTTTTGTCTTTTGGGTAAATTTTTTTATATAATAAGTATATTATAACCTCCCTAATGTTAAAACTATATTCTAAATTTGCACATAAAACTACCAGTAGTTATTAAATACCATTCATTATCTTAAATTATAAAGTAAATAGAACTATGTCTTTTAAAATATAAAAAAATTGTATCTTTTGGGTATTCCATGATTTGCCAATGTTCACAAAATAACCCTGAATTTTTTTACAAACAACCATGGATCTTCATAATTTTCACAAAGACCATTAAAAATTCAAATATTTATAGAAAAATATTGGGACAAAGTTTCAAAACAGCCATCTTTGTACTTTTAATCCCAAAAAACCCATTTTTAACTTATTTTCAGAAACCGACCTGGTTTCAGCCTCAGCGCTGAAACCAGGTCGGTTGCTGAAAAAAATTTACAAAACTTCACGGGAGTTGAACTCCTGTGAAGTTTAGTAAGTTTTACTAAATTTCACGGGAGTTCAACTCCCGTGAAGTTTCATAGTTCAATTTTTTTTGCGATTACTATTGTAAACGGGATGTTTTGGAAATTCCTCCAAAAATACTGAAACTTCATAATTTTTTACAGATAAACCCCTATATAGTTCAAAACTTAAATCTTAAGAAAATTGAAAGTATATGATCTAAATTGTAAGAAAATTACAAATAAGTCCTCAAATATTGTTATAATTACATTCAAAATGAAACTCTTCCAATAATTAAATAATAAATTGTGTAAAGTATTAGAATATAAAACAAATATGTCCATGTGTAACGTACGTACACTATACTAGTGATTATAAAAGTGAAATGTAAGAAAAGTCATCATATAGAGTTTAATTCAAATTTAGCTTCCCCTAAAAAATGGCGAAGTTGCACAAAAGTGACAAAAATAGTAACCAATTTTAATTAAATGATTTTAACTAAATTTTATTAACTAATCCTATTTTGCCACATCATCATCATAATTTCTCTTTAAACAATAATTTCTTTTTTCAAACAAGCACTATATTTCACTTGCATACCTACGCGGATGTGTAAGTCATTTGCAAAAAAAAAAAAAAAAAAAAAAAAAAAAAAAAAAAAAAAAACAAATTTTTAAAAAAAAAAAAAAAAAAAAAAAAAAAAAAAAAAAAAAAACTTGTGCATTTCAATTCACTTTCGAACTTCTAAACACTCCCATAAAATTTGCACTATTATCTTAAAAACCGCTATATGTTGAAAACCACTGATATAAAACTGGAAATTTTGTATAGCCTTTATCTTATCCACCTGTGAGATCGGAAAACACGATGAATATTAGGATAATTAACAAATGCTCACTGTTTCCATATAATCCATTGACTGTAATATGTTTCCTCATAATTCAGACCAAATATAGCAAAGAGAGCATATATAAAATTAGTAGAAAGTTGTTCGTAGAAATCTCTCCATCCCCGTATAATGGACAAGATTTTGAAATTAAAATAAAAAGATTCAGATTCAGATTCTCTTTAATTAAGTGGTATTTGGAGTGTGTCCAATTACCTCAATTCTATCCTTCAATTTCAATTCCGATTGTTGAGATTAAATCATGTAGGATTTCCACTATTACAATACCGATTTTTCACATTTGTGGTTTTAAAGGAAACATTACGTGATTTCATCTCAGCACTTGAAATTGGAATAAAGAATCTATACTATATATTTAAGAAAAAACCACCTTTTTTGTTTGAGTGTCAATTTTTTTAGAAATACCAAAAATAATCTCACACTTAAAAAAATCAAAAGAGACACATTCGCATTTGCAAAAAGATAACTAAAACACCTAACACTTGAGAATCAACACAAATGCTCTCATTCTCACAAAAAACATTCCGAAATGCCCTCACATTTTTTTTGTAAAGTGCACATTGTGTGCGCTGGAGTACAAGTAAAGATTAAGGTAATTGGACATTCTCCAATTACTACCTAACTAGAGGATCCCAATCCAAAAGATACTTACAGCGTTAATTTGAATGAAAATGAACGATAATCTAGTTTTGTAAATAAACACTATATTTCACTTTTACTTGCGTTGCTTTCTAGAACGCACTTTCATGATCTCATATTCTTTCTAAATTTAGGAAAACAACTGTTGATCATTGTATGAGGAATTATGCATTAAATAAAGTTTCACTTGACTCTCTTTATAATTTAGGAAAGAGAAATTGCAATTCCCAAAGTTTATTTTTGCGGAAATGAGAGCTTTCTCTTTCTGGTAAACCAATAAGTCAAAGGTGTTGCTAGCAGATTTAAAAAAAAAAAAAAAAAAAAAAGGCAACGCAAGCTAGAAAAGATAAGGTCAATTTTAGAAGCCCTCTATTATTCTAGAGTTCATATACTTTCTTTTTGTATATTTTAATCTCATTAGGGGGAAAATCAGGAAGATATCAAGAAGGGAAGGAGGGGGAAAAAACCTATCTGTTTCATCATCCAACAAAATCTTCTCCAGTATTTCCTGCTGCATTCCCATTTTTGCCTCTTTTAAGAATAACCCACACCTCATTTTTCTCTCTCTCTATCAGTTACTATAAATATCTCTCAATCCTGTTTTATTCATTCTTCTTATTATTATTCTAAGTCCTCACAATTCCAATCACAACATTGCTGCCTTACTGCTGCCCTTCTTTCACAAGTCTGTGTACTTTCTTGCGATTTGTTAGTTGATATTACTTTGATATAGAATTCTTTTTTTAGATTTAGGTATTTTTGCTGTGTAATGGAAAAAAAAAACCCTTATTAATATCATGTTATTTGTTGTAACTCATATTGGTGATTGTTATCTATTGGTTAGTCCTGTTAGATTGCAACTACCCATATTTTGCAAACAAGCACTTATTTTGGATTTTGAAATTACTAGGTGAAGTGCTCATCGTTGGGGCTTCTACGGTTCTTAATTAGCCTTTTCGCCATTGTTTTCCGATATAAAATGCTCGCTAATTTTGTTATTGCGTATATTGTTCGCCGCACCAAATTACTCTTAAATCCGTTGTAGCATGCATTTGGTCTTAAATGTGGTATGATCAATTGTTACTGCTTCTATGTCAAAAAATTCAGGACATAGTTACTTCTTATGATTTTCTTGACTAAATTGAGATGTTGAAATGGGAATCAAAGTTATCATTTGGTCATTTACTCTAGGGTATTCAAGGGTCTGCTACATTACATTACACACACAGACACCGATTCTTCTTGTTTGATTCTCTATTTTAAGCTCATTTTTTATTGGCTATCTTATGGAGCTAGTGCAATATAATGCTGAGTACATTAGTTTGCGTTTAAACTCGTTACCAAAATCAGTACTTTTCATGAGATCTGAGGAGGCAGAATACCAACTGGGTAAGATAATTTCTTTATTCCACTGTTTGAAGCTAATTTTTCATCTATAAGCGTGAGGTTAGCTTTAGCTGAATACTGCTCATGAGTACTTACTAATGAAGTTCAGGATCATAAAATGTATGACGCTAGGACATTTGTTAGTTTGTCTCCAAAACAATCCTATCCAATTTACTCCAGAGCGTGCAACTCTTTTATCTACCTCATTGATTACCATTCATTTTCAAATCAATGTAATAACATTTGTGTTTCTCTCAAGGTATTGAGCAACAAAGGACACTTTGTTTCAGTGGGTAGCAAATCTCGTCACAATGGCTGATGAAACTTGTCAAGATGCAATGCATGAAGCAAATCCTTATCAGCCTTTAGGACGCTGTTCAATTCTTTCCTATGGTGCTGGCCACATGCTAAATGACATAACATCAGCTTGTTGGTTCACTTATTTGTTGTTATTCCTCACTGATATAGGACTCAGTCCCAGGTATCCTACCTATCATTTTCAGTTGTGCTATACTTAATAGTACCATTGTGTCCCCATTAACTTGTTTTTGTGCTTTCTTTCTTTATTTTTGTAATATAGAACTTTGTTTGATAAATATATCGTGAAACTCAAGCTTCCTGCTTACACCACCTACATTAAAATACCTTGGTCCTTATAAAGGAGAGGCTTGCGCTCAATATTTTGTGTCATGAAAACATACTTTAATATTGTATAATTATATGCAAGGAAGAACAAGCTTATAGCCAAATGTCTTTTACCGTAGGAAGTCATGCTCATGAAGCTTATCCAGAGGTGATTTTGAGTGTATAATTTGTTTACCCAATAGTAGCATCTTCCAACAGAGATTCTTTTACCATCACACAGACGGCTTGCAAATTATAACAATTCCTATGAATTATCAGGAATATGCTTATCCACTGAATGTATCTACCATGATTAAATTGTGACAGGGATGCAGCTATTGTCATGCTTTCTGGTCAGATTGCAGATGCATTGATGACAGTATTTGCTGGGGAGCTGGTATGGACTGTAAATTTAATCTATCATGTTGTTGTTCATGTAAATACTATTTTATTTTCAATATTGGTTTCCTGTCAAGTCATGCTGCACATGACTTTTGCAATGGTATCGGGGAGTTGCAAGTACCCTTAGTTGGTTTATTATTATTATTATTCTCAGCTCAAATGCCATTATATGGAGAGGCATATCATTCCTGTTTATAACTTAAAGCATACTTGATGTTTACCTCCAGTCATCAAAGTTAAGGCCAGAAACAGAGAAATGGTTGTAGTATGGAGCAAGAACACATATGAGTTGTTACTTTATAAACGTTTCCGGTATATATAATTTTTTTTCCTGTGAATATGACTTCTATTAGATCTGTATGAAGGGTTCACTTATTTACTCACTGATTTATTTCAGATTTGATGCCTAAAAACTATTTGTTAAAAATAGAACAAAACTGAGTATGTACATTTTAGTAGACTGGGAAGTCAACAAGTTAGAGGAAATCCGTAAGACTTGGCTAAAGTAACCTGTTGAGGATTTTGTTTAAGCTATATTCGCCAATTTGGCAGTTCTCAGCTAGTCAGTCCCTTGGTTTCAGAGTTGAATTTTGCTTGCTATGTCCTAAGCCTTGATGCGGTTGATCACTCCTTTTCCTCTGCCATATATTGATATGCCAGTTCACTATATTGACCTATGTTCAGCTTGTAATGACTCTAAAATATATCTCAATACTAGGCTATGATTGACAAGGTGAAAATCTACATAAGCACCATAATTTATCAGTATACAGATGGTTTACCCAAAGCTGTTATGATTTAATCTTTAATATGTTAATTCCTCTCGATTGTGGTCTCTTTTACTTGAGGTTTAAAGTATTTCTTATCAAATTCATTCTGAAACTCATCTTTCTATCAGATTGACAGATTCGGGAAATTCAAATTATGGCATGTAGGCGGATCAGTTCTTGTTGCCATTTCATTTTCATCTGTCTTTGGTGGCTGCGTGCTGTGTGAAATATTGGGCACTGACTCATCCATGATGCAAACAATTGGATACAGCATATTTGCTGGAATCTTCAATGCGGGTTGGGCTGCTACCCAAGTCTCCCATATGTAATACCTCTTTTTTAGCATTCCTCTTGCTGTCATTCGCTTCTTCACTATTACACTAACTTGAGCTAGTTTATGTGTTAAAGGTCAATGGTTAATTGCATGACATTAAATTCAACAAGCAGAGTTGCACTTGCAAGTTGTCGTAATGCCTTCACAATGGTGAGCAGTGTCATTATTTCTTTTGCCTGTTAATTCTTGGTTTCATACTGAAAGTCCTGAAAATTTTGATATTCTTTTGGTTATTGAAGGTAGCAAACTTGAGCCTGTTTGCAGTTGCTTTAGCTGTGTTCAGCTTATATGATGTCAAAACTTCATTAGATATTGAAAATCAGGTATATACATCCATGTATTTTCACGAACGACGTGTTCTTGTATTTGTAAATCCTTCTTTGGGTCCAATTCTTACACTCCTTTGAATTCAATTAGTACCGATGGATAGCGTACATTTCAATTTTCATGGGATGTTGTTTTGTTGGTATGTTTCTCTTTGGAACGAACGAACCAAAGTACGCGATATTTCTATGACGCTATTTATTATCTGTTGTGCAATTAAATTTGGACTTCACACAATCATTCAATTTTGTCATGAATTCTTAAATTATATGTTATTCGATAGATTGAAGCAGCAGATTCAGTGTAAAAATCCTCTTAGGATTTCATGGGCACACTGGTTTAAGAAGGCGTTGTACTATCAAGTTGCTTGTGTTTATATGCTCACCAGGCTGATAACAAATGTTTCACAGGTCAGACTTTTGACTCCATATAGAACTCATACTTTGAAGATCCATGCTAATATTGTGTTATTCATATATTGATATGTTGTTAGGTAAGAAAATAGGTCTAATATCCTATTAATTTTCTTCTTAGACTATTATTTTTCAGTCACAACAACCAACTATGTAGAGAAATTACAATGCGTACTTTCTTGCTTTCTTGTTTTCTTGACAGTCACTTCTTGCGTTCTACGTCATCAATGATTTGGAAATGACTCAATCTTCCAAGGCGCTGGTAAACTATAAGCCTAGTTTACTTGCATACTTGTTTTCTTCAGAAATTAAGTATTTTTCTCAGAAAAGAAACTTACAGTTGAGTTGTTTCGGAAGGTGCCTGCAATAATATACATTTGCAGCTTCGTGGTATCCATTGCTCTGCAGGTGCTACCTTAACTTGTTACCAAAATTATGGAAACAATGGGTACCAATTTTCTTACAGTTCCCACTAAAACTTAATGCCTCAATGCAGGAAATTAAATGGACTAGCTGGCGCCTGAAGGCTTTCTTCTCAGCAGGCGCTGTCCTGTGGATGCTCTCTGGAGCGGGAATCTTTGTTCTTCCAAGCACTATGCATAATTTTATGTATCTTTTATCAATAATCGTCGGTATTTCTAATGCTTTAATGATGGTATGTGAACAAATCCATAGATGTAACTTTATTGTTCTCATTATAATTTTAATTATATCCTGGCGTCTGATATCTCTGTATATAGCTTAATTGCAATGAAATAAACTTGAAATGTTGTCTTGTAATTTTACAATTTCCATTTTTTAAGAATACTTAGGACTATTGACATCCCTCCATAAATACGACGTGTCATAATGTTGATGCTCACTTCCTCTTAATATTTTATAGTTAGCTAGTTCAGTATTATACCTACAAGATTCGTAAGAATGGCTGACTGATTGTATATAAATGATACATCACCTTACATCAATATAAGCACATTATAAATTGCCCTAAATTGTAATTATGTCAAGTATCTGTTGTTTCACTTGCCACATATTGCATAGGTGTATGCTTTAATTCTATCTAGATTGCTTCTGTTGTAAATTTGTTAGCCAGTAAATGAGTTCTTAGTTTTTTTGGCATACTTCGTAAATTTTTAAGTTCAATTATTGATGCATGTTATAACCTAAAAAATGGCAAGGATACATATTCCTTTCTTGAGTTTCAAGACTTGCTCTGTCAGTATTGAAGTGAAACACTTGGAAGCTATATTTTTGAGAGAAATAGCAAATGACTCTTGGTTGATTTTTCTGAATATGTGTGTCTCTGAGACAAATTAATATTAACATATAGAAAGCCCTTATAACTTGATGATGCTAGTATTTGGAATTAAGAAATATGTCAGAATTACTAATTGATTCATTAATTAAAAAATATTTCCAAATTTCCATTTGATTTGTATGTCCCAGGTGACTGTTGTTGGTATGGAGAGCTCACTGGTTGGTGAAGATTTGAATGGTTGTGCGTTCGTATATGGTTCGTTGAGTTTCTTGGACAAATTTTCATGTGGGATTGCTCTGTATGCTTTGGAGTCATATCAAGGTATATGAATTTCAAATTTAATTACTCCACATAATTCATCAAAATTTTATTAGTGGACTGATAATTTGTGGTATTCCCTCTGATCAACTTAGAATTTGGAATACTCATGTACTGCCGCTAGTAATTGTTTCACGTAGTGTAGAAATCAAGACTACCTGTAGCGCATTTATTTGTAAATTTATATTATGTAACCGTCATTGTTGATTATGTTCTAAACGTTAGATGACTAAGATATAATGGAGTTTTATTGGCATGATTTATTTCAGGGTTAGTTGCACTCGTAGACCCCCTCAGTATCGCACTTTGGAACTTATTATGCCTGTTGTTATATTTTGGCAGACGGACCCTAAGGGTGATTTTTGACTCTTTTACCCTCAGGGATCTATCTGCCAGGAAACAATTTTCTTTTCCTCTAAGGTAAAATAGTCAAAAAAATCACCCAGGGGTCTATCTGCCAACTGAAACTGCATGCATGGGCAGTAAGAGTTCTAAAGCGCAGCAATACTACAGGGGGTCCATGTGCAATTAACCCTTTATTGGATTATGCATTAAATACCTAAGATGTTCATGTCATACAGTTTAAAAGTACACGAATATTGTCACAAAAGCTCCCAAATTACTTGAAAATCTCTCATTTCACTGAAATACAACCGATCTATGATATTAAACAGTTGACTGAGCTTTTCTCAAATTATCATGTGTTTGAGCACAAATCATAGGGATTAACTAGTACATCTTGGAATTTTTTTTTATTGCAGATTCATCAGATATCACAGGTTGCCATGACATTCGAGGTTGCCATTCTGTCATCAGGTACGGTTCAGGGCTCATCCCTGCAATTTGTGCTCTCCTTTCTCTCGCAGTGACATGTTCAATGAAGCTCTCTGAGTATGATTCCAAGTCACTAAACACGCCTCTTCTAGCTTAGTACCAACAATGTCATGAGGGAGTTTTCATCATTCAATTAGATTTAAATTGTGAAAAGCCGAGATTTGCTAATAAACGGAGTTCTCGCATTCAATTAGATTTGAATGTGGAAACTCAAGATTACCATCAGTTCGACGTCTCAAGTGTGTAATTTATGAAAACGAGTCTTCGATTTCTTTGTTATTTTTATATTCTTTGGTTCTTTTGAAGACTTTTGTTCTTCATACTTAGTTTCATCCTTAAGAAAATTGAAGACGTGACTCATTACCTGGGACAAAGTAAAGATACTAGCTGTCCTATGAGATAAAGGGGTTTTTTATTTATCTTTTTCTTATAGTTTGAAGAAATATATGTTTCACCCTTGGTTTTGCGTATTTTTGTTCTCGTGGTTTTGAGTTATCTTACAAACATGATTCCCGAGGCAACAATTAGTGGAAAATGTAACAGGGGAAAAAAATTGTTGAATTAACATTTGATTATAGGAGAAACATGTTGTGAACATCTTGCATGCTAAAATTGAAGAAGATATTGTTAATTTGATAAATGTTTTCATGAATTAGATTTTCTCAAACTGTTCCTATAAAAAAAACAGAAATTTCAAATTGTTTTTTTTTTGAGAAAAAAAAAGGTCGAGGTCTTGTAATTAAATACGCTATGGATATGATGAACCATGAAATTTCACAGAAAAACAAACAATATCATTCATGGGGTTTATCGAGTGAAGAGATGTGGTTGGTAATAAATTATGGAGGCTCTCTACAACTCAGGCTTCCAAGCTACGATTGGTTGCAAGAAACTGAATGAAGCCATCCACGTTCTTGTCTTGCCGTTCCTTGTCCCGAACAACCTCCATCATCTTTTGAGCTCTCTTCCTGTAACTCTCTCCCTCTTCATCCACCATCACCAACCTGAGGGCCTTGGCCACATCTTCTTTATTGAAACATCCATCTTCTTCGTTCCTCTCAACCTCGACCCCAAATCCTTTCTCCTCCATCAACCTCGCATTCAAACCTTGGTCCAAATCCACGGGCAGCAGAACAAGCGGGTGTCCAGACTGAAGACCTTCGATGATCGAACTCCACCCGCAATGCGTCAAGAATCCTCCGACCGACTCATGAGCCAATATCTTCACTTGTGGCGCCCAACCCTTAACAACTAGCCCAAAGTCCTTGGTCCTATCTTCAAACCCTTCTGGTAGAATCTCACCATCTGGACTCAAGCCGAAAGGCTTTCTGAGCCCCCAAACAAAGGGCAGTTCCGCCGTTTCAAGTCCTAGCGCCAGCTCGTGCAGCGACTCGGTGTTCATAGCCACCTCGGTCCCGAGAGCGACGTAAACCACGGACTTCGACCTCTGCTTGCCGAGCCATTCCATTATTTCAACTTCAGATTCATTCGCATTCTCGTTTCGTTCGTCCACCGATGGCGGCAGCAGGCCGACCGGAACAATCGGTTTCTTGATGATTTCTTCGAGCAGAATCAGCCACTCGGACTCCAATTCCTCGCAGCTCCGCAGAGCGATTGCTCTGCATCCTTCAAGCGCCATCTTGAAACGATGCATATCGGTAACGCCCGAAGGGTTCGGTAACCTCGCCATCTCTAAGAGCCTTCGCACCTCGTGCAATTTATACGCCATCTTCGTCGGGAACGGGACCCACGGTGGGGCCACCGTGAACGATTCCGGCGTTTCCCTCGACGGCAACTCGGTCCTCGGACCATAGAAGACCAGATCGGCGGCGGGGAGCGGGGACCCCGAAGTAGAAAACACGGGGTACGTCGAGCTCATCACCTATTTTCGGCACCCAGTGCTGGATGAAGTCTTGAACGATCCAGTCGGGCTTCGGGGAGGCTTGTTCGATGAATTGGCGAAAGGGCTGCTCAAGAGAGTCGAAGGCTTTCTTGAGGTAAGGGACTTCCTCGGGCGGGAGGTCGGTGGTGGCCTCGGCGGCCTCGCGTAGGCCATCCGTGGGCGAGAGACGGAGAGGGACGAGGTCGATGAGGCCTGAGATTCGTGAGGGGAGCCTGGGGAGTCTCTGGAGGTTTCTCGGGGTGGAGATGAAGGAGATTCTGTGGCCTTTTCTGGCCAAGGCTTTGGAGAGCTCGAGGAATGGGAGCATGTGGCCGAAGGCTAGCCATGGGAAGACTACTATGTGGAGATTACTACTTTCTTTGGGCGCCATTGCTTGTTTCGTGGATTGAGGTGTTTGACGAAGGACACGGTAGCGAGTGGTGAATTTAATGTGGGACTCGAGGGCCTGTTCGGATATTTCCTAAAAAAACCCAAAAAACGCGGGGTTGGATGAAGACGAAGTGCCGGAACAGATATTTTATTGTAGTTGCTCGTCTCAGCGTGGCGGCCGGAAAGATCCAATGAGATCAGCTTAGTAAGATAACAACGTTGGTCAAGTAAATTAATGCTACATGTTTGTGAGTTTTGAGTGTAAATCCAAATAGACGCATCAAAAGTCGCAAGAGCCGTCTGGAAAGATCTATGGGATCTCAGCCTAGGATAACGACGTCTGGAAAATAAATTGAATGCTAATATTTGTGAGTTTTGACTGTAAATCCACAATTCATTTTATATTATTACCAGAAATTGTCCATTTGCATTTGGGTTTCCCGCCGGGAGTAGGTAAAAAAAAAAAGGAAAAATTGCAAAATAGATCGTTTTTACTAATTATTTAGCAAAATAGTCCGTTTTGCTAAATAATTAGCAAAATATACCTTTTTTTGGCCAACGGGTCAAAAAGAGGTCTATTTTGCAAAACCGCTAAGAAAACATACGGGATTAGTAGTTCCGTATGTTTTAATCACGGATTAGTGAAATTTTCTAGTAGTCCCGTATGTTTTCTGAGTCACTAATCCGTGATTAGTTGGCTCTAAACATACGGGACTAGTAGTCCCGTATGTTTTCTGAGCCTTGTTTTTCAAAATCGACATTTTTTTTCTTTCAAAAGAGGTCTATTTTGCTAATTATTTTTTAAAGTGGTCTATTTCGCTATATATTTCATAAAAATAGTCTATTTCGCTATAATTTCATAAAAATGGTCTATTTTGTAAATTTCCCCCAAAAAATGCTCATAAACGAGTATGCATTTAGAGCTAGGTTATCAAAACGGACCGCATGCAGGCGGTCAGAAGCAAGTTCGGAACTGAACACTCGCATGTGGTCTGTTTTGATAGAAAGCGAACTCTGCGTTTAGTCTACTGATAGTGATTAGGTTTTCCTGGCTCTTCTTCTTGATTCTTTTTGATTCTTTTTGAGGAGAGAAATACTAGCACTAGACTATACTTTTTTACTATGATCAAAACAATAAGATGTTTAGTTGACATGGGACATAATTTGCAATTCACTGGAAGAAAAAGTCCATATGTCTGAGAAAAAGTCCTTCAAAAGAATTATTTAACATTCGAAAGTAACTGGCTTATGTAATACTTGGAGAAGAAGCACAGCCAAGACGAAGGAACTGATTGCATCTCGACATCTCTGGAAGGATGCCATCACAATGCAATTCTTTAATATTATCTTCGCTATGGGCTAATGGACATAAGCCTATATTGACCGAACCACGATGCAAAATTCCGTGTGCTATATTTTATCACTCCACAATCAATCTGTGATGGGTTAACATCAGATTGCACTTATCTCGTTTATTTACCGTTTACTTTTATACAAACTGGCATTAGAGCATAGACTACCGGCATGTTGTTTGATTATAATCATCTGTGAAACATTAAGATTCGGATTTGAGTTAGTATTGTCAGCTTGTATTTTAAATTTAAAATATATTAATTTAAAGATAGAAATAATATTGGATTTTGAATATTTAAATTAAGAGGGATCGAAGATCATAGATAAGTTTAATTTATGTTTTGAATTTTATTAATTGATATTTTTTCAATTACTTACAAGGCAAAATCAATCTCCTAAACATTGAACATCACTTGATGTGCAGGGTAAATTGACCATAACACTGCGAATACAATGATCAAGGCATCCCAGATGCCTTCAGCAATAAATCAACAGGAAACTCCTTTTGAATCTAATAAAATATGCAACTTTAATCATCTATAAGCTTCATAATATAGCAATATTCTGAATAGAGTAATAAGGAGGTTGCAACTTAGTTTTATTGATTTCGTACATCGTCATTTTCATCAAAATAAACTTACCTTCATATATCACTCACCCTTTCGCATTCATTACCACCATAAGGTTAGCTTGCAACAGACAATTTGGACATCAAGTGAACCACAGATAGCACTTCATAACACGCGCTTTCTATGCTAGTTTCACACACACTATTTATTGTCAATTCCACAACCAAAAAAGGAAAAAAAAAAAAAACAACCAAAAAAAAAAAAAAAAAAAAAAACATAAAAACTAGCATATATCATAAGTTACATCCTTACTTCTTCATCTTCACAGAGAACTCTACACTTCAAGTCCACCAATGATTTGAGATTATACTCTATGAAACACAAATTTATATAGGTTACGTGACCTTACTAAATTGCCAACAAAAAGCCCAAAGTGTAAGGATAATACTTGTCATAGTCAAACCAAGATGAGAAAGCAAGTACTCATCAAGAGCTTGTTGGAGTTTAGCAGCATCGTTTATATCTACAAGATCTAATACGATTTCATATTAGAGTAGAAAAGGTAATACTTAAGGTCTATCAACTATACACTATTTTCTTTTGACAATGACACAATACAAAATTTGAAGGAAGACAGTTTATCAAATAAGCTCACGAGATGGTAATCCTGTTAGGGAATGAAGAAAATCAACAAGCGTTGAAATTTGACGCATCGAGATAAAAACCACGACCTTATCAACGCTATTTTTCAGTTCTCTTTCTTCATTCTACCTCCCGAAGAGAGTTTCCTCGGGATGAAGGAAGCACAACCCATTCTTTAGATTGACATAATTCTCTCCCTCAAACATCCTACGATAAAACTAAGCCAAAAATCAGTTAAATTAAAAAAATTTGACCATGGAATGAGACATTAACAAAATTGATCTCAGCTAGGATTCTGTTTGATTTTCAACAAAATTACTCTTTTTCCCTTCATTTTCTCCTCTTTTTTTTGAGTGAAAATAGGGATTTCCCTATCAATAGATTACTGATAACCAAAATAAGATGTGCATACAAAAGAAGATATCTGCTGCTGATTAAGGCCACGTCTTCGAGTTGGAGAAAAAAGGCC